GAAGGGAAAAGAGTGCAAGACACAAGACTAGAGTGAGCTTCATGATTGAATCTTCTCTGCAGTTGATTCTCTTTTCCTGTTTCCACTTTAACACTTGATGTCTCTCAGCCTTCAGCTGCTGGGTTTTTATAGCAAGAAAAAAGGAGGAAAAGGAAGAATTACTTTCAAGCTGAAGGAAATGGTTTGAAGCAATAGAATAAACAAAGCAATCAAAAAATTACTTGCTGGGAGTATACTAGTTACATAGAAAATGTAACTCATCAGTTTGCAGTAACTATAAATGATGATAATGAAGAAGAAATTTTAATTGAACTTTGCACAGAAATATTGTAGCTATGTTGCTATTGTCATTATGTTGGAAAATATATCATGAAATAATTTTCATGCAGCAAAGAGTACACAAGTTATAGGATTAAGTACATGACTGCACTTATATGTGTCCATGTACATGTATAATGAGCATTGTGTGCAGCCAAATGCAACTTGTATCAAATCATGACGATGATGCTAAAATGATAATAATTAATATTATTCACATGTATCATGTAACTATAGTTATTATATGCAATTCTGATTAAGTACACGTATTTATAGTCTAAGTTTATTTCCTGTCCTTAATGAGCCTGTACTTGTCCTTCAGACTAGTGGAGGTCCTTCCTTCTTGAAATGGATAAGCATTGAGTATGTGCTTCCATCGTGGGCCCAGTTTTGATACTCCTTTACGTAAATAGGAAACTTCTTCGTCAGTGAAGAACAATGACTTTTGTCTACCCTATACATGTATAATTAAGCAATAAGCATACAAATCGAAAAAAATGTACAGCCCATTTATATACATTGCCATGCCCATCAGCTGAATTTAGCCCTTGTTGATTCCTGTACAAAAGTACCTGCTACATCTGATTTTTTTGCATTACTGGGACAACAGTACCTCTATGTAGTCATCCGTACCCTACAGTTTGTTTGTAAACTTAATATTATTTTGCATACATGTACATGTACATGTACATGTGTGTATACACTAATATATAAAGTATGCATTACATTTACTTGGCATACTTTGGTGCTCTTTTTCTTGTTCCTGTTGTGGTGAGGAATACTCACATCATAAGCAACTTTCCTTGCCATCTCCTTTGGTGCCTTTTCCTTCACTTGCTTTGCTATAAACTCGTCTAATGGCCTACAGGCTCCATTGGTAGACTCAGACAGAGTCATGAGTGGTAGCCCTCTATTGTTCTTCCTATTACTCTTCATTCCAGGCTCAGCCTCATTCTCTTTATTGCTCATAGTTACTGTACTAGTAGTACATTGTGTACTTGTTGTTATTGTAGATATAGGACTATCTATTATGTTGTACTGAGATGGAGAAGAGGGAAGTGGTGAGAAAACAACATTATCATTCTCTATGAAAATAACATCATCTTTCTCCATGTTTGAGGCTTTAGATGTCATGAAAGGCTCTAAAGGTAAGACAGCCTCTTTAGGACCCTCTGGTACTACATGTAGCTCTTTCTTAGTCAGGACGGTCTCTGTGATTTTTCTGTGATACCGGCAGGTGCTGTTGCTTAGACTCAGACTGGGTATGAAGTTACGACTGTTTAGAGAGTCACCAGTGTGTGCTGGCGAAGACATGCAACCAATGCATCCAGTTAAGTGAGAGTCGTCTGATATCTCAATGTTTGTTATCTCATTTCTGCTCTCTTGATGCTGCAGGGATGATGATGGCTGATGTGATTCCTTCTTGTGCTCTTGATCTATTTGATGCTGTTTGTATAGCTTTATCCTTGAAGGAGGTCTCTGTCTTTTAGGAGTACTAGGTGCTACCAATGGCTGAGAGTGAGTTAAAGGAGAAGCAATTGGCTGATGATGAGAAGAGAGATGATACTGCTCACTGTAGCGCTTTGGAAATGTTGTATGAGGTATGATTCTTTCAGATGGTGTACTAGTATAAGGGACCAATCCCAAGTTTGGTAATTGAATGCTTTTGCTTGATTGGTACATTTTTCTCTTTGTCTCCTGAACTCCTTCCCTTGTTAATGGCCTTGGTGTTGCCTTGTGCTTATATCTAGTCATTGAGTTTTTCTCTCCTCTTGTTTTGAATCTCTTTGGCTTAAAGGATGGCTTCTTGAAAGTGGTTTCTTCCTCCTCCTCTCCCCTCATCTCGTGATTGGATACTTCTCTCCTTTTAATTTCTTCCAGCTCAATTTCCAAGCATCTTCGTCTTTCCTTCTCTTCAGCTAGACTCATCTCTAGGTCAGTTAATCTACTCTTAACTGTGCTAGCCTGTATGATATAATACAATGAATGACACAAGATACAAAGCTTTACTTACATTAAAGCTTGTGCAGACTGATGGTGGGGCAGGTAATGTGGTGTTGATAAGAGGTGCATTGTCTTTATTGGTAGTATCTGCAGGACCAAGAGAAGGTGAGTATAGAGGAGGTTTTTGTAGTTGTGTCTCTGCCTTTTCCAGCCATTCATTGATCCTAGTATTGAATGGTATCACTGACATCTTTTTGAGTAGCCCTTCATTTTTAGCAGCTGCAGACTCATTAACCATGCAACCATGAGCAGCATCCAAGTGTCCTGTACCATGAAAAATACCACTATCTATTAATATTGGACTATAATAGTACACATGGTACATGTATTTCATGAAGTGGGGAAAAATTTTCATCCACTGTTAGGGGTAAATTGTACAGCTCTATGTCATTTTGGAATTGCCAAATTTTAAGCAAAGTTTTTGACCTAAAATAAATTACTTTTTGCCTACTTTTAAGCTAAAATTTTTACCTGGTTTAAAACAAAAATTAGTCAAATTTTGAAAATAATGAAAGAAACATAATCAAGACACTAATGCACATACTTGGCATATCTATTGCTTCAAATATTCCTTCTTCTTCCTCATCTTCTAAAAACAGAGGATAGAGATTACATAAATTGTCATCACATTAATATACTCTTGTTAATATTAAAGAGGTTTATAATGTACCTTCAATCACTTGTGGTACTTTTAATCTGTTCCTACTCATTTTGATAACAATAGGTATCATTTTATCTATAGATTCATCCTAACATAAGAACATACAATATTGGTTATAATGATATGAAAATAAGTCAACACTAGCTTACTACAGACTCAGCCATGAGATTGATTAGGAGTGACTCTCCATTGCACTCAATGAAACAGTTACAATGATCATCTGTAAATAAAGACTTTGATTCACCTCTCTATTTCTCTCTTTCTCTTACCAGAATTTTCAATGAGTGTCTCCAGACAGGTTATTGCTATTAGCTGCTGTCTTGGATTGAGCCCTCCTTTATCAGACAATAGCTCCAGCAATAGGGACACCATTTTAAAACTGACCAGAAACTTTGTGTTAGTGTCTAGAGACATAATAACGAAGAGTTGTAATTATAGTTAAAAGTAAATACCATTATTTGTGACTGCAGCGAGGATTGCTTGCATGAGACATGATATAAATTCAAGCCTCTCTTGTCTCTTTTCATCTTCTCCTCCTGTTATTGTTTTCTCTTTTTGTTTTATCAACATTCTTGTCATCACCCGAAGTCCTCCAACTTTATACAACTTATCTTGAGTGTTACCTTGAATACATTGTAATACTAAACACTAAAGTACCAGGTCGGGTCCACTTACCATTATTAGCAATGCAAGATGTGAAAACATTAATGACAGATTTTAATACGACTAACTCCCCCTCTAGATCACAGCAGCCTTCCGCTGCTAATCCTAACACATGGACTGCAACAGGGAATATTGATATGCACTGACACTGGTTCAACTCTACAAGGAATGAATGAATGAATGGAGTATAACACAATGTACTTGTGTATTATGGTACTGTATGTTGTTGTAGTGTTGTAAAGTAGTATAATGTAGAAATGAACACTTGTACTTGTATGTATGTACTGTATTCAATAGTGCTGTATCATACCATTCTGTGGGTTGTCACAAGCTACAGACAATCCATTGCCAATATTTTGAAAATAATTTATAAGAATAGGGTCGGCAATAAGATCATCTTTTTCTTGAATTAAACTCCTAAAAACAATCACGATGATACATGTATTTGCACACAGAGAACATCTCACTTGAACATATCAATCAATTTGTACAATAACTTTGTCTCTCTTGCCATCTTTTGTCCTTGACCTATAATAATAATAATGATTATTATTACACTGTACTTGTATGATTATTAGTTACTGTTATTGTTCATTATGTTGGCCAATAGTACGACAGTTCCTGATCTTAGCCTCAAAGTAGCCTCACTGGATCTCAATAGTGAATACAGTAATGTAAAGACGTCACTTTTGCAAAGTCTTATCTGTGTATTGACTAGAGAAGGCAATTAATAATGTATGGCCATGAGTATAAGCATAAGTATTATTAAAGTCACCTACCATTATTGTCAGTAGCACAGGCTAGCGTGCAAAGACAAGCTTGTTTCACTTCTAAAGATGCCGTATTCTTCAAGAGGTCAATGACTGCTTCAAGGAAGCCTTCTGTTCTGAAAATCTCCCTTGCGTTATCTACTTAAAGCAATCAACATCATATAACTATTTGTTTCACTGACCATCCTCCATTAAGTACATATCTGCCATTAATGTCAGAGCTTGCTTCTGGGAAGAGGTGCAAGGTGGCTTGCAAGTTATGCACTCCAGCAGTAAGTGCATGTCTTCCTTGAGGGGGTCTAAAAGAATCAATCAATAAAGCAAAAGCTGGGAGTTTTCTAAAAAATAGAGAGAGCTTTAACTACCTCTTGGAGCACCAGAGTAAGCACTGTCAGCCATGAGTGAAAGCAAAAGAAGTTTATGCTCAACTGCTTATCAGGCTTCCAGCTGATCTTATTGGCGCCCAGCCACACCTACCAGTGAGTGGGCGTTGGTTGCCATGGCATTAACCATTAATTCATAACTATTTAAACCACGTGCTGTGATAATGGCGGGCGATGGAGTAGAGGCTCTTTACAGGAATTATGGCATCTTGGCAGACGCTGGGGATAAAGCTGGAGAAGTAAGAGAGTGAACCTACTTAAATAATAGCTTTTATTCTACAGAGAGATGGATGGGCTAAATTTATATTCTAATTAATGCCTGTTCCACCCACTTTTTATATGATATATTTTACATAATGTTATAATTTTCTTGTAGCAAACAGAAGCTTTTTTGGGTTTACTGGAAAGTGCCAAAGGCTCCGCGGCAGTGAAGCGACTTGTGTCCGGTTTTATTGCTAAATTTGCTCGTTTTTTCCCAACACTTGAAGGAGACATCATGAATGTTCTCTTTGATCTTGTGGAAGATGACGAATCCCTGGTAAATAAAATAAAATACATGCAGTACGGTAATTCACATTTATGTACATGTATGTACTATATGTAATTTACATGTGTTTATTTTTGTTAGGTAAGGCAAGCTGCGATTAAGTCTTTACCAGAATTATGTAAAAATAATAAAAGTAATAAAGACCTGTGTACTAAAGTAGCTGATGTTCTCACACAATTACTAGTATCAGGTAATAGTAGTTATTGCTAATTATTAATGTAAGAGAAAAAGGGAAAAGAGCATATTGACACCTACATGTAAAATCATAGTTCAATCATAAGATGATGATGATGATGATAATGATAATTCTCTTTCTACAGATGATCCAGCTGATGTAATATTAGTTAAATCAGCAATGTCAACCATATTGATTCATGACACACCCAGTAAGAGGATTAGAGAGGGAGGAAGGAGGGAGTAGAATTGATCTTGTGATGAGTTAATTTAGTTGGAATTACCGTCTAATGTTACCATGGTGACATAATTAGCACTGAAGACCACACCCACTAATTATTCACAAAAAAATCATTTATAATGAATAATTGATTTGTCTTTTTTCTTGTTTTTCAAAGGTGCATTAATTGGAATATTTGATCAGATATTAGGAGAAGATGAAACCCTGAGAGAGAAAGCCATTGAGTATGTGTCAGTCCCTCTAATGGACATGAGGCACGTTCTCTTCATACCCAAAGAAGAAAATGAAAAATGTCTACTTGAACTTGTTAAAAAGGTAACAAGTAATCCACATTCCAATTAAAATTATTTGCAGTGTCTAATTTTATTTCTTTGACATTTTTGGTCCACTGCATAAACTTTATTATGCATGCACAAATTTTAATAAATAATATTATATTATAAAAGAAAAGCTGGAAAATTCCTATGTATACAATGTATGTATATGAGTATACTTTAAATTTAATGCCCTTCTCTCCTTTATTTAGGTACTTGGTGATGTGACAGCCGCAGAGTTTGAGACGTTTGTAGATGTTTTAGGTAAATTACATCATTTACAATCGCCCGAAGGTGCTAACGTTATTATTGACGTTATTGCCGAACAGGCCGAGCTTGACGGTAACTTTCAGGTGGGTTATTCTATTTAGTGCCTGGTTTCTATTTAATGCCCTTGTTTTATTTGGTTCACAGTCTGAAGGGCCGGAAGCTATCGATAGATTTATCACTTGTTTTAGATTAGCACTCAAATATTGTAAGGTAAGACATTAATTTTAAATTGAGTTATGCTCAGGGTTTACCACAAAGCATGCTAATGGAGCTAATCATGAGCTGACAAGCACTACACTACAATACTGTACTTGGCATTTGGGGGAATCTTTAAAAATTCATAAAAAATCTTATTTTGATCGGAATCAGCTCAAACTTGCTAAACAACAAAAGAACATGTATATGTATCAGGAAAAAATATTAAAAGGCAGAATTCTCTTTGTATTATGGTCTTTGGCCAGATTTCTGAGTTATTTTACACTATGCCAAGATCCTGTAGGAAACCTTATTGTTGGAACTTTCAAAATATTCTAATTTTCTGAAAATTGGCTCCAAAATCTCCCCCCCCCCCAAATTTTATTACATTTAAAGTTTAAGCTGATTCTTTTTTTGTTTTAAAGACAGGAGTGTTCCTCATTCCTCCTTTACTATCTCTTTCCCTCCTCTTCCCTGCAGAAAGGTGGTAGCTCATATCAATTTGTTAGATATGCATCAGTGGAAATATTACCATCATTTGCTTCCATAACTGACGCACAAAAGCAACAAAACGTGTTACAATTGCTGGCCGAAGGTTCCTGCTATGTACAACCTGAGAATGATGTAGAAATATGTCTGGAATCACTCCATCTCTTCCTATTGGTGAGTTAAAACTGTATTAAAGAACAGAAGGAAAATATAAGAGTAAATAGGGAGGATTTACATGTACATGTAAATGATCATGTATATTGCATTGGTCTGGTGATGAGTTAAATTGTTGGAATTACCGTCATACATTTGCTTGATGACACCAGTAGCCCTGAAGACCATCCACACTAGTACATAAGATATAATGTGTAATGGGTTTATATGTCGTCTTATTATTTTGTTTATTATTTTAATTTCTTTTAGGAACACGTTCCTTCTCCTCCGGAAGAGACTGCAACTGAGTCTCCAAAATTGCAGTTTTCTGTTGTTGAATGTTTGCTGTTTGCTTTTCACCAATTAGTCAATAAAGTATTATCAGTATTATTATTATTATTTTATTTATTATTATGCTCTGTTAGAGTCCTGGGTTTTTAGCTTCACCAGAAAATGAAGAGAGACTCAAGGAGCTCCGTAAACGTTTGCAATATTTCGCTCGAGGTTCACAGACCTATCATAATCAGCTACAGGTTGCCTTAAAAGGAAAAACACAACTTGAACTAAAAGAGGAACAGGTACGAGCCCATTTCTTTCTTCTCTCTCTCTCTCTCTTTCTTTTTGTCTTCTGTCAGTGATTATATTCTCTCGGCTAAATATTCTCTGCATCTTTCCTTTTTTAAAATTTAAGCTGTTGAACTCCTCTTTCTGCTCAGAGTGAGATCCAGTTTGAGTGGAAATGATGGGAGAAAATGATTAACTATCGAGTGATCTGAGACTTTAATACAATGCATCCTTCATATTTCCTTTAATACTTCCTTATACTTCCTTATTTACATATTGCTATCTTAAGGCGGATTTACAATATGACATTAGGCCAGCGCACTGTCAATTTTTAATCAAAAGTGTGGGCGATTTGACCTTTTGACGCATGCTTCCCGCTAGAATAGAACCAAATCCTATTCCAGCATCAACGTAACGTCAAGCCTATCGTAATATTGTAAATTCGCCTTTATGCATGATTATTGTTATTATTTTTGACGATTTTATTTTTGTTTTATTTCTAGAACAAGTTACGTCAGATGGCTCTAAAGATGACAGCAAACATTAGTACATTAATTAAAGTAAAAATTGCCACACCCACCCACATTATTATTATTATCATTACCATAATAAGGATTTCTTTCGTAACCCGCCCACGTACAATGCAACAGTGCAACTATCTTGGGGAGCAAAGGTATTGCAGTTTCTTAGTGATAATAATTTTTAAAAATTTTGTTCTGTTTTAGAAAATTGATTTGGGTACAAAGAGGTCTTTGGCCACTCCCCTTCCGTCATCAAATCCGTCAAAAAGGAAACTCTCTCCGATAAGATTTGATGAAGATAAATCCTCGGGTGGTGCCTCTGGGGGCGCTGCAAAGCAAAGAGGAGGGAGGAGAGAAGCAAGAGCTATTTATAATCCACCGAGACGCCAACCAGTGACTAACGGGAATTCTTTTGACGAGGGTTCTTGGAAAACGGGCGGAGGAGGAGGAGGGAGAGGGGGTAGAAGGGGAGGGTGGAGAAGTGGGCGTGGTTTTAGAAGAGGGAGGGGCACATGGAGAAACTATTAACATTTTAATCTGTCTATTTCTCCTCCATTCACTATTATTGTTATTATTATTTTTGTTAAAATTAATGTACATGTACATGTACATATTACACTAAGAAATTTAACCTGTTAATGCAGTACATTACATGCATATTATACATGTACATGCTCAAAACATTGTTTTATGGAAATAATTGATTCAAAAAAAATTAGAAAAAATTCTAAACTAAAAAAATTTTAAAGTTTTTGGTCCTTACAACTCTGACCTGCTACCTGTGCAGTAACCTATTGAAGAACAAATAAATCATTAGCATCATTATTGTATTATTTTGGTACCAGAGAGGGAGGAACAGAGCTGCTTCTTTTTGTCACGAGTTTTTGAAATATACAAGTCCAAGATGTCATCGTCGTAAGCAGATATCACTGTAGAGCACTGAAAATGAAAATGAAATTGAAATATTTATTTACAATAGCAAGAGATTGTGGTTATTTTTGCTTTCAGTATCACTAAACCACAAAATGAAAACAAGCAAGTGATGTAGTTTTCTTTGCACTAATGAGCCCACTTGTGTTGTGGAAAGGAGAGTGGGTTTGTGATAAAAAAATACACAACTCACTGCATCTTTGAGCTCTTTCATTGTACTTGAGTCAATCTTGACATTGTTAAGTGTGACACTCTCTCCTGCCCTTGAATTAAACCTCACATAGCTCTTTCTACCCCCACCATCCTCTGATAGAGCATAATTATTCATCTCGTCACTACAATTATATACAGTGAGGAATGAAGTGGTTTAAAATTAAATTATATAATGATAGTTTGGCAATTGTTCTTAGAATTTTATGCATGACATAAGGGCATCAATGCATTCATTTTTATACTATTTGGCTCAAACTTTCTACAAAGCAAAATTTTTAAAGAAATGCAGGTATTTATATAGTAGATACCTTACCATATGTTTTCCATCAGTTCGATCAGATGGGTCTCACTGCCAGCATATTTTACAGCCCTGGTTTCCCTCCCGCCAATATCTATGGTCTTCTTTTGATCAGTGTGTTTTATGGCATAGTCCAATTCATCTATGATTGCCTTACAAGCTGCATTAAAGAAAAGAAGGAATTAGCAAGATTTTATAATTATTTTAAATAATAATTATTATTGTACCTCCACACAGGACTTCCCTGCCACTTTCTGCCCTGTAGACTAAAGAAAAATAAATTATAAAAGCGAGAAAGAAAGAGCCCTTCATTTTGCTTGCTCAGAGACAGAGAAGATCAAGAAGAGTGGGAACTTTTTGTGGTCAATGAGCAGCGAATGCAGCAGCCCTGCCCTTTTATTGGGTGGACCGCCCCTCCTCCTCCTGGAAAGACACGCCCAGCAAGTTTGTGCAGAGACACTGTGGAAGTAGAGGTAGAAGTGCCTGGTGCCCTTTAGTTTTACTCGCCTTTACTTTGACGTTAAGCTGGCGAGCACTCTTTTTTGTACTTCTCTAGTTCACTGTTCATTTTGTCTGCACAGCAATGCCAGTTAAGAATAGGAAAGTGGCTCTAATGGGATTCAGAGCTGTTGGTGAGGGATGACTCATTATGCAACACTTTTAAAAATACTTTCTCTTTCATTGTCTCCTCTAGGGAAGTCATCTCTGACCATCCAATTTGTTGAAAATCATTTTGTAGATTCATACGATCCAACTATTGAGAATAGTGAGACTTATTAATGATTAAATGCAAAAACCTAATTTATAAAATCATTTTTTCTTTCTCCCAGCATTTCAAAAGTCCGTATCTTACAAAGGACAAGATTATTTAATTAATGTTGTAGATACAGCCGGTCAGGTACATGCTATAACAGTAATGGAAGGAGCATGATTGTGATATAAACTTTGTTATTTTCTATATTTTAGGACGAATATTCTATATTTCCTCGCTCATACACAGTTGATGTTGATGGCTACCTTCTAGTGTATTCAGTTACTTCAATGAAGAGGTAATAAGCTCATTATAATGATCCTGTACAATAACATACACCTTGTGCCAAAATGGAAGATGTGTCAGCCATTTTTTGTGATTCAATCGTAATACAAATGACCAAGAGTTGTGGATGATAATTATCACCTTATATATCAATTTGAAAATAGCCATAGTCCAATGGTATTTGACACCAATGTTCACACTATTGTTTATAAGGGCAAGCTCCAGCCAATGACATGGTACTAGGGAGTTTCTTTTTGTTATGAATTACACCAGACTTATGGTTGTATAATTTATGTTGTTTTCTCTCTTTTTCTCTTTTCTTCTTTAGTTTTGACACAGTTAAGGTAATCCGTGATAAGTTACTGGATCAAAGTGGAACAACAAAGTATGTGCTAGCAAATTAATTTATGCATTATTATTATTATTGCCAATAGCATTCCATTAGTTCTTGTTGGTAATAAAACTGATTTACACATGCAAAGGTTAGTAACAACAATTACCGTATAGCGGTTTTTTTGAGGATAATAATTTTCGCAAATGACCCATATCCGGAAGTTCACAGAATTAATTTTCACGAATTTCAACTATTCTGCCATATTGTACCTTATCAAATTGATTTCCAAGGAATTAAATTTTGTGGATCTTGAAAAATACACAAAATTTGCAAAAATTTGTTATCCTCGAAAAAACCCACAATACGGTATTACTGTCATTCTTGCTTTCATGTTATATAATTTGTTATACATAATTATTACTAAGAGTAGATGATAAACCCTAAGCCCTAGAATATCCTCTACTCTCGTTATTACTTTAGAGTCATATCAACAGAAATGGGTAAGAAACTAGCAGCCGATTGGAAAGCGTCTTTTGTTGAGTGCTCAGCAAAACAAAATGAGGTAAGTACTTGTTTATAAGATACATGTTTTAACAATACACATGCACATGCAGGGCGTTGAAGAGATATTTCAAAAAATATTACAGCAGGTGGAACAGGTACAAGGGAATGATCCTGAGAGTGGCTGTACTATATTGTAATTACATGCACAAAATTATGACTGGCTTTCTATTGCTGTCTCTCTCTCTCCCTCCCTCCCTCTCCCTCTCTCTCTTTCTCTTTTAATTATTATTAAATATAAAATTATAATAATAATTATTATTACACATAATTATAAGCTACCATAACTGCATGTATATGTACAAGTTTGTGCCAGAAAGTTATAAAACAAAGTTTTGACATAGTTATATCAACTAGTATTGCCTGATGTCTGTGGCGACTGTTGTTGTAGCTTTAGTGTATCGACTCTTAGATTAGAGAGAACTATCTCACGTAACGTCTGAGAGAGAGGAGACATAAAAGAGGGGGAATTGATGTATGATATAATATATGTACATCTCCTCTCTCTACTCTTTAAGTGCATACCTGTGGTTTACAGCACTCCTCTAACCAGTTTATAATGCAGCTGGAGAGAGTATCAAAGCTAGTGACATCGATACTAGAGTTGAACGATTGAAATAACTGGTCAGCAATCCCACGAAACTTAACGCAAAGAAGACATTCATAAAATATGTAACAAGGTACTATATTCTTACTACAATAAACTTGACATAGTCAGGAAGTTGCTGTGAATTGGTAGCAGCCTACACAATAATAGTAGATACATTGTAATTAGAGTATTCATCAGTCTTCAGTGTAGTCTTACTGTGTTCTGATGGGCCCTAGCTATTTGCTCATAGTTTCTATAGAAAGGAATGAACAAGGAAAGGAGTGGACATATCTGTACTTACTCTTTCATGATTGATAGTGCCTTGACTTCTTTTTCTAATTCTTCAACTTGATCTTGCTGTTTTATGGCTTGTGAGTGTAAATACATTATATAATCTATTGCTGAGAGAGAGAGAGTAAGGGGGGAATTGTACTATTTTGTGTTTAATAATTTACTTCTTTGGAGGATGACAGCTCTGCTTGGCCTATTACCAGCTGATGATGGACGACAAGTTGGAACAAGATCCAGTAAATGAGCATAACCATTCTAGCAAAGAGATGAGAATAATGATGATGATGATGAAATTTTTGTAATGGTAGATCTACTTTGATTAAATCCCTTCTCTTCTGTTCATTTATTGAATGAATGTCTCGTTTAGTTAATTTCTGATCTGGAGGGGGTTCACCAGATATGTTTCCATCTGATTCACTCTCTGGAGAGAGAGGAGGAGGAAGAGAGAGAGAGAGAAGAGGATTTACAGAATAATTAATATTTTAATACCATCGTGATAATGGAATTCCATTGATGAGCTCTTGTAGAGTGGTTTCTACAAAGATGGTTGCAATAAAGCTGCAATAATACAATACACATACGGATGAAGAAGTATCAGTGTGACCAACAGAAGTAACAGAGCCATTGGGCGAATCAAGAGGGGAGTGTTCAAGGGAATGCTGCCATTTTAAGATAAAATAAAACACAAATACCAACCCACTTTCCTAGTTTACTCACATCATGCTCAATGTTAGAGGTGGAAGAGCTAAAGGAAGAGTGTCTGTGTGGATACTCGTACGCCTCAGTTTGAGAAGATTTCCTTGAAGACGCCATCTTTACTCGTAGGTGTGTTACGGGGGGAGTGTTAGGGTGTGCCAGACCCCTTCTATAACAAATCCATTTTTAACTAGACCTTTAGACCCCGTGTGTTTGTAACGTAATAAAAGTTTAACCGCAACAGCAAATACCAGGGCCTTCTTGTTGACAGGATTTAGCAGCCATCTGTCCTCTCTGTTTGTCTCGCTTAGTCTCTCTGCAGTCACAGAAATGAACCCGCCTTGCGCTAGATGTAAGAAGACCGTCTATCCTGTTGAGAAATTCAACTGCCTTGATAAAGTAAGATACTGTAAATTGATCAAAATTGAAAGCACATGAGAATTATAGCAGCCATTTACTACTAAAGATAGAATGAATTGTGTACATTAGAAGTTGGCCAGTTTAATAAATACTCAGAATAAATACACATGCTTTTCCTCCACCCCATTGTGTAAATGGTTAATTTTGTTGACTAATAATCCATATTTTCCTTCCCTTCCCTCCCCTCTCTCTTTCTTTAGGTATGGCATAAGGCTTGTTTCACATGTGAAGTGTGTAACCTAAAGCTCACAATGAAAACATACAAAGGATACAACAAGCTCCCATATTGCAACACGTAAGGAGTTAAGCCATTATTTATATTCATTATGTTTGGGTTGATTAGTAATGTCAATCATTGTTGTTATTATTGTTAGAAAACATAGCCCTTATGTACTAATATGGTAATGTTATGGCTTTTTCAGGGGTTCCTAGCACTATTTAAAGAGCCAGTTATGGGTCTGAACCAGTGTGTGGGGGGGTTGTTTGGTCTGTGGCTACATTAGAGTAAACAAGGCCTTATGTTCCTTGTGGGTCAATTAGCATTTGATTTGTCAACTGCCTTTTCTCTCTTTATGACGTTTACTCTCTATATAATGTCTCTCTATTTCTCTTTCTCTTTGTTGTCAGGGTCCTAGCCAGGAACTTGAAATGGGGGGAGGTTTGTGTATTGCTTCGCGCGAAGTGCATGGCAAAAAAATTGACAATAACAGACGTGGTTGGTTGGCCAGGTCTTAATCTACATAAGCACTGACTGAGCCTTGTCTTTTCATAAATGGCTATTTGTGGTTCTCGCTGCTTCCAAACGCTAGTCCTGCTTCTGCAGTACTACTTTTCAAGCCAGGAGCTAATCTATAAATTTTTGCAGCTACGACACGAGGTTCTCTGAACCCTCCCCTGGCTATAGGCCTGGTTGTACATGTACATGCACATGAATTTTTATTGTGGTGTATACACAAAATATTATATCAATCATACGTACACTACACTGTACATATATAGCATGCACACATCATACATACATACATTATAATCATTTATACATGATTCATACATACGTACGTACGCACAATGCATTCATACATTTATACATGACATTGTATATGCATGATGAATGTGTACAACACTATCATAATGTTGTCTTTTATTTTAGACATTACCCAACTACAAAGTTTACTCAAGTAGCTGATACTCCTGAAAACAAGCGCCTTGCGAATCAGACTAAGCAGCAATCAGATGTAAGTCTAAGAGAAAGAGAATTAAGAAAAGGGAGAAATAAGAAAGAGAAAGATTTGATAAATTAGAATTATTTTTCGTTAATAGCTTGTTTATCGTAAAGATAGAGAAGAAGCATTGAAGCATTTCACCCAAGCCTCCGATTCCGTTGCAACAAGACAGGCTCAGCAAGCCGGCAAACTTGCCTCCAATATTGGCTATCAAAGTGCACCCCATGAAGTTGAGGGTCATAGGCCCCCACCTCAGAGCTACAACCCGCCTCAACCTAGCTACAACCCGCCTCAACCTAGCTACAATCCTCCTCCGCCTCAGAGTTACCAGCCTCCTGCTCCTCAGCCCAGCTACCAGCCGCCACCTCCTCAACCCAGCTACAACCCTCCTCCACCTGTAATTGTTTTTAAATTTAAACAGTTGTCCTTTTATTAGTATTCTATTAATCTTTTAATAGGCCCCAGCTCCTAGTGGCCCTCGTTGGACTGCCGTGTATGATTACGCTGCTGCTGATGATGATGAAGTTAGCTTCCAAGAAGGTACAAACAATTTTTAATGTCTTTAACTTCTTTCTTTCTCTCTCATGCTAGGTGATCATATAATTGATGCTGAAGTCATTGATGATGGATGGATGGAAGGCACTGTAGAGAGGACGGGCCAGAGAGGAATGCTTCCTTCCAATTATGTGGAGAAAGTTTAAAATGGCGAACATTTATTTTGCTCCTACTTTTCTTATTAATAATAATCGTCTTGATTATCATTAGAGTATAATTCATTATTATAGAGAAACAACACTTTATTAAATATGTCGATTTATTATTAGTAGTAGTATTACCCTTTTTGATGTTTTTTGTTCTCTTTTTTTTTCAATTGAAATTTATGTGCTGTGTACATTCTATTGCAGTATATTAAGTATCCCGGAGTGTGTCAACAGTATGCGGAGGTAGGCATGTGACATCATGATTTATGATGCAATAACGAGCCACGCCCTATTAATAATTATATTTTCCACGTGAAAAGGTGAAAAAAACTCAAGGAAAAATGAAAGCAGGACTTCTCTTTGTATTTGCTTCATTATTAACTCTTACTCTTGCTTTTGTCAGGTAGCGTAGCCATATCCCGGTAAATAATATTATTTTCTTTTTAGGGTTCCGCTCCATCGCCATGTCGTCCCAAGGTCACAGACCAGAGCAAGATTGCTTGCGAAGTACCCGTCTTATTTCTCGTCTTTTAAAGTGAATGATGTCCCGGAGCCTCTTACTAATTACCTTGATGTAAGTCCTGTATTTATTACTGCATTTGTATTTATTATCTTTTTTTTTTTTTTTAATTTAAGCAGCAAATTAATTGCAGTCTTGCATGATTTAGAGTGGGTAAATTTTGCATTATTTTAGTATTCAGAAATGATACATGTAGAATAAATATAAATTATTAATCTATTTTTGTCGCGATGGGACTTCTCAACTGCTGCTATCTAAACTGTACTTTTGTACTTGTAATGTCACATGCCTTGGTCACATCTGTGTATAGCAATTGAATAACCTTTTTAGTTATTGTGAACCAAATGTACATGTACATTGACTAGCTGTCACCCTTTGGTCCATAATGCATGTTACACTATTGACTATTAACATTGTCATGTACATTTACATGCATTATAAATCATTGCATATAATATTGCATTACATTCCCATTGTAGGCAGAGTATTATGGCAACATTACAATCGGTACTCCTCCACAAAACTTTCTTGTCATTTTTGATACTGGTTCGTCAAACCTTTGGATACCTAGTTCAAAATGTGATCCTAAAGATAAAGCTTGTCGTGAGTTATCTTTCTTTCACTTTTTATTTATCTTGATCCTCTTTCCCTCTCTCCTTCCCCCTATCTCTCTTGTCACTAGAGACTCACCATCAATACAATCACGATCACTCGAGTACTTACGTGAAGAATGACACAAAATTTGCCATTCAATATGGTACTGGTAATCTCACCGGATTCCTCAGCGTTGATACTGTAACTGTAAGTCACAATGAATCTGAAAAAGCATTACTTTGTTTGTTTTATGCATCAATCAAATCCTCTTCATTATGTTATATATATTTCGCATCGTTTTCTTTGTTTTATGCATGAATAAAGTATTCTTCATTATATTATGTATTTTTCATCTCTTCTTGTTTCATCCAGATTGCTAATCTTACTGTTCCAGCTCAGAAGTTTGCAGAGGCAGTGGAGCAACCTGGTGACACTTTTGTGAATGCTCAGTTTGATGGCATACTTGGTATGGCATGGCCCAGCATCTCTGTTGATGGGGTCATACCTTTCTTCAATAACCTTGTACAACAATCACTCGTAGCTCAACCTGTCTTTGGATTCTATCTGGATAGGTGAGTCTGGAGAAGAAGAAAGAAAGAGAGGGTTGATATTGTATTTGTTTTATTGTTTCTTTTTCTTCAAGAGATGAGAATGGTACTCTAGGTGGTGAGCTGGCATTAGGTGGCACTGATCCTTCCCATTACAAGGCTCCCATTAATTATGTACCTTTGTCTGACAAGACATACTGGCAGTTTAAGCTTGACAAGTATGGATTAACAATACGCCCACTTGTATAATTATCACTGTTGTTTTATCAACTTGTGTACATTTAGTTTCTGTAACATGTCTTGCCAAAAATAACAGCAACATATTGATGTCCTTATGCTATGGAGTTGATTTTGGCTTCAATTTTAAGTTATGGCCTTTTTTAAAAAGTAGCAAATTTTCGGAAAAAAGCTAAGACTAATTTTTTCCAAAAATGGCCCCAAAATCACCCCAAATTTTTATCACATTTTCTGATAGTTATAACCCCATCCATTAATAGGATAAAAGTTGGTGGTACAACTCTATGCAGTAACGGCTGCCAGGCAATAGCAGATACAGGAACATCTCTATTAGTGGGTCCTTCGGTTGATGTGCAAAAAATAATGAAAGAAATAGGAGCCAAGAATACTGATGGAGTGGTCAGTAGCTATTAATCAATAGTTTATTGACTTTAATATTTATTAATAGTATATGATTGATTGTGGGAATATGTCGAATTTGCCAACTGTTTCTTTTGTTATTGGAGGAGCACAGTATCTTCTTTCACCTCAACAATACATCATGAAAGTAAACAAATTTAGTGTTGTTATAATTATGTGTATACCGTATATCCTTAAATAAATGTCGGGGTAGCATAGAGTTTAAATATAAATAGGCAAATCTAGCATGCTAGTAACTCAAATGCCTTGTCGATACTTCCTTAAGTTCCTGAAGTCAAATGTGTGAGGTCACTGGTTTGAATCCAGCTCTGGGGCCAAGTTTTTTTCATTAAAAATTTTTTTTCGAGGTCCAAGTACCATTTTAGGAAATAAACGCACAGGCTTTTATTTAAGGAAATACAGTACCTCAACTGTTCTTTTAATTTTGTATTAGGTTTTTCATGGGGTTTTGCCCTACTGATTGTAACATTTTAAAGCTTAATGATTAATGAAATTATGCATTAAAGCTTTGGCAACTGTAGTCTTACTGCATTTTAAAACAAATCGTTATTAAATTTCTTAAAATTATAAAAAGACAATATCATCCAACAACAAATTAACATTATGTATAATAATAATTATTACCAGTGTAAAGGTTGTTATAATTTCTGATTCCTCTTTCATTAATGCAGGAAGAGGCTGAAGGGCAGACATTTTGTCTCGTTGGATTCGACTCACTGGATCAAGGGGAACCTCTGTGGATACTAGGCGATGTATTTATCGGATACTACTACACTGAGTTTGATGTGGGTCAAGGAAGAGTTGGGTTTGCTCCAGCCATTTATTAAGAGAGGCAGGATAGAGAGACTACATACATGTAGCTGCTAAACTCAATAGTCATTAAGCTCAATTATTGTTTTTTGTTGATTACTTTCAGGACACACATTTTAAGTTATCGTTTGATTTTGAATCACAATCAACTAATCAGTGATATGGGTGAGCCTCGTATAAATAAGTGGGTGTGTCCTCAGCTAAAATCGTAGAATTACATAACAAACTGTTCCCATCATTGGATGGTGTGGAGGTGGTCAAAGGATTAAAAATGGTTTCGTCTTGAGTTTCTGTTCTACCTCTAGTTGATGGAGAATTAATAACGTCAACATTTTCATCAATGGGCGGGTCACTTGTGGGTGTGGCTTCGGGTAATTGATGAGGGACTGCTACAAATTCAAGAACTGCTCGTTGTTTAGGATTACCATGACAACTGTCCTCGCTATTGGTCGGTTGTTTGAAGAGTGCCCGAGGAGGGAGGGTGGAGCGAGTTCTGGTTTTCTTTCTTTTAACAAATATATCATCAACTCCATCAAACTGGGGACTAACCTGTTGAAATTATTACATACTAATTAACACAGTAGGTATATTGCGCACAATACATATAGTAGTACTAATACTCACCCAATTAACAGTATTTGAGCCATTAGAAGGTCCATTTTCCTGATGGTTTAAGACTTTAACTTGAATTACTGGCGGAGTAACAACTTTCCTCCCCCTCCTAGTCCCTCTGACGGGTGGAGGTGGAGGAGGAGGGGGACATTCAAAATGTAGTGTAGGCTTCCATGCCATAGGAGCACAGATATGCGTTACCATCGACCAAGATACATGAAGATATCACTTGGAAGACATCTTTAACATTATAACCACGCCTACCACAGCTTTTTGCGCATGCGCAGTTGGTCGGTCATTTTAACCCTTTCGCTACATTTTAGAAAAAGATGGCGGGCATGCAGCCACCACCTCATTTTCCTTATTATCCAGCTGCCGGTCCGTCTATAGGAGGTAAGTCTACTAGTCTAGCGAGTTAGCACTTTAAATCACATCACCTTCCCCCCTAATAGTTGGACAGTATCGCTCTCATTATCCTACATCAGCTCCACCAATGCAGGTAGATGATAAAACAATATTAATTCATTCATTTTTGTTCCAACATAGAGTATGACATCACATTGGAATCTTCCTCCACCTGCTGCACAGCAGTCTCACATGCCCCATCATCACTCAAGCATGGGAGGAGGTGGAGGCAATAAAAATAAAGCCATGCCTGGGGGCCCTATGGTAAGTAATCAAGTTAATTTACGACATAAAATATATATATATATTTGATTAAAATTTAGGGTGCTTTAAAACCACCTAAAGCCCCTGAGAAGCCGCTCCTTCCTTACATGAGGTACTCCCGTAAGATGTGGGAGCATTTTAAGAAAAGTGAAGGGACTGATCTGAAGGTTTGGGAGGTCGGGAAAATAATAGGACAGAAATGGAGGGAGCTCTCTGATGAAGACAAACAAGTAAACCAGAAGTTTTAAATAGTTTTGGTTTTACTTTTTTTATTATTAGCCTTATTTTGATGAGTATGAGGCAGAAAAAGTTGTATACGATGAAAACATGAAAGCATATAAGTGTTCATTTGCTTATAAACAATACCTTGAGGCCAAGAAAATAGGTGAAAATTATAAATAAATATTTAAAAACTAGCAATTACGGTATATTATTGATTATTAGCTGAAAGACACGCTAATTCTAACTCACCTGGGCCACATGGTTACATGCCTGATTTAGCTCCACCCCCTCCTCAAGTTATAGCCCCACCCAGACACCCCTCAGGTAGCGACCCACGTCTTGTAATGTTACAGCAACAAGAGGAGGACGATGGTGAGAGAGGGAAGGAGGGATAAAGAAACGGATTCTTTTATTCTTTTTTTTGTAGAAGATGAGTACATTACTACTAAGCAGTTGGCTTCTTCAAGATATCATCGTAATCATCGCCTGATGCGAGAGATATTCAGTGATTCAGTTCTCCCTGATATAAAGTCATCCGTAACAATGTCGCGTATTGATTCATTGAAGCATCAGTCAGCATCACTCTCTGCTCATCAGAAGAAACTTGAAGATGAAGTGAATCAATTGGAGGCTAGATATTCTGAGAAAAGGAATCAGTTTCTTGATGATGCAGAGAAATTTAGGAAAGAACTAAAAAGAGTGAGTAATCGTAGAGCACATTAAATAGAATTGCTACATGAAATATCTCAGCTATTTTAAACAAATTCATAAAAAATCTGATTTTGATTGGAATCAACTGAAACTTTCTACACAACTTAAGAGCATGCATATGCATCAGGAAAAAATTATAAAACTGAAGAATTTTCTTGTAGTCATTTTTGGCGAAATTCGGCTGAAGACTCTGTACTGTAGTACAGGGACTTTGGCCTGATTTTAAAGCAACTTTTAAAATTTGTAAAAAAATCAGTTTTGATTGGAATCAATTCAAAATTTCTACACAACATAAGAACATATATGCATTAGGGAAAAAAAATTACAAAACTGAAGAATTTTCTTGTAGTCATTTTCGGTAAAATTTGTTAAGAATCCTGTTAGTACCTGTTAGCCCTAATCTTACAAACAACACCTTTGTCTTATATATAGATTCAAGATAATCCTCCTTCAAGCTGGAAGAAAACTCCCGTTCAACTGTCCTCTAAGGATATCCCTGAGCCAATTCCATCGGCTAATTATCATAAAATGTGATGGACTCATACTTACTCAAAACTCACTCAAAATTCATTAATTTTCATCGCATGGTAGTTTTAATTAATAAAAAGTAAAAGTGAACAAATCACTAATAATAAATACTACTACTCTTAGCAGTCTGAAATGTTATTCTTTTTTCTTCACCTCTTCTTGTGCAGCAACAAACTCCTTGTACTGTCTGTCAGTACCAAATAGCCAGTCCCACCACCGGAAAGATGAGCTGTAGTTTCCATTGAAGTTCTTATGATGGAAATCATGAAATCTCACACCTATAAGGAATAAAGCATAATGAGTACAACAGTGACTAAATAGCATCACTATAGTTTTTTTTACCAGCATAGCCAGGAATGAGGTTAAGTGGGTTCAAGTAGGGAAAGTCGTATCCAGAATGAACTTCAATAGTTTCCAGTAGTCTAACAAACATCCATAGCCACATGAAGACCACATGGTTGCAGAACAAAAGGACACCAATGAAGAATCCTGCACCAAGGACTAAGAAAGAAAGAATGAGACATCAAATGCTAAGTCTGCAATGGCATGCAGTTTCAAACCTAGTGTCTCTATTGGGTGCGCATATTCAGCTACCATTCCAAATGGTGCTTGGTAATGATGATGAACTTTATGCACATATTTGTAAATGCTTCTGTGGTGAAGGAGCTGATGGATGAAGTAATGCCACGTGTCCTCAATCACAAGACAAAGGAAGCAGTTAAAAAATAGCATGTACCTATAGTTAATGTATAACAATGATCAATGCTTGGTGTACAATATATTGTATACTATTCATACCATCTAGGCATTGATTCCCAGTCGTATTGGACTCCCATTATTTCATTGTAATAGAATAGACCTGATATCATTGGAGCCTACGTATAATAATAATAATAATATATGCATGTAGGCCTACTGTGTTACATACTTGTATGATAAAATGGTTAAAAAGTAATTGCAAGAAACACTTCCACTGTCCATCAACAGACTCTGGTTTCTCCTAAAATGCAATCGATAATCACTACTGTACTTAATTTATGCTACACTTCTCACTCGCTGTATTTTGTATTTCTGCATGAAGGGAAGGAACTGAGCAAGGAATCCAGGCAAGCAGAGCCCAAAGTACGAAATCTGCAATGATACAAAATAATGCAACCATCCATTTATCAGTACCTCGTGTATTATTACAGAGAACCAGAAAGAGATTGTAAAACGGGAATAATTGGTGGTCATATACTTCCAAGATGGCTCCAGTAAATAATCATCAAGGGGATTGGTTATATTTCCTACCAGCTCCACTGTGTCGTACAATGCAGAACCAAATATGTTCAGAGGCATTTTGAATTATTTTTCTCCTTTCTGACTTTCTTTCAGAGCTTCTCGTATGATATAAACGTTGCTAATGTTGCTCTAATCATGCTCCGATTCATCAGGTGATCGCTCCATTTTAACAAGCCACGCCTCTTATTTGTTTTTAACACCCACTCAAGAAAGGTGTGGCTCGTTATTGTTTGTTTTGAAGAATTGTTTGTTTTGAAGAAAATCAAAATGTCTGATCCAGCTTCAATTCTAGTATTGGGCAATAAAATGAGGGAGCAGATCAAAGAGCTGCAGGAGAGGAGAGCAGCGGCCATGATGAACGAGATAGCTGATCTTCAGAGAGAGAGGGACATTGCTTTGAGCAGGCTTAAAGCAACAGAGGGGCAGGTGAAAGAACTGCAGGCAGACAACAGCCTTTTGAAGGAAAAATGTGGAGCAGAGAATGACTTAAAAATTGAAATAAACGCACTAAAGCAACTATGCAAAGAAGAAAGACTGATTGCAAATGATCTCAAGAAGAAACTTCATGGCTCAGAGAAGAAATGCAAAGATTTGACACTGAAATTACAAGCAATAGGAACTGGAGGTGTCAATTCACCAGTCTTGGGACTTCATTCACCACTCATAAGTCATTTAAGGGTCCCTCTCTCGAAAGATAAAAGTCAGAGCATGAGCGATTTAAGCAACAGGTAAGTTTATTGTATCGCAGTCTCAAATCAAGTTATATTTATTTTAGGAAGAATGTCGAGCAAGCTTCTAGTCAACCTGGATCTCCATCTTTAACACCAGTCCAGTCTCCTTTCTCCAGCCCTACTTTTGTACCCAGAAGGTATGAGCCAGAGAGAATATAATACACAAATTCAGTTGCACATATATAGATACAAGCTGTCAACAGTAGCTAATATGAATCAAGAGACACAGACAGATGCAATGAACACAGAGCCATCCATGTCACCTATGATGGAGAATCTACCACGACCTGTACTGGAAGCACTTGCATCAGCCAGAGATGATCTCATGACACTTAATGATCAAAATAATGTGAGCCTTTTCGAGTCTGTGTGCTCCAGAAAGTTGACTATTTCTTAATTTCAGCTACTTCTTGAAAAGTTGCAAAAAGCAGAATATGAGAAGAAAATGTGGGAACGGAAGGAAGCAGAGATTAATGAAAAGCATAAGGTTTTATACTTGTTTTTGCTAATGTTGCATATTGAAAAGGACTGAATGATAATATAGGTTCTTAAGGAAGAGAGTGATGTATTATGTGAATCATTATCACAGTTCTCACAATGGGTCCAGTACAAACTATCATCAGTTGAAGAAGAGATGGACATATGCAAAGTTATTTACTCACTACATGGATCACTATCTAAAGTATACAAAACATTAGATATATTTTGTAAACTATTTTTTGTAAGGATACTCAAGCAATAGAAGAAATGAGACAAAAACTACTCAAAAGTGAATCTTCAATTTATCATTTAACATCAGTCAATGAGTGAGTGCCAATAGTTCAAATATCTTTTAATGTTATTCCTTATAGCCAACTAAAAAACGCATTGGCTGATGTAGAAATACAACTACAAGAATCAAAGACAGAAGCAAAGTAGAATAATCTATACATAGTAATATATTGGTTTAATGAGTTTTTATTTCAGAACACTAAGAGAACAGCTAAATAAAGCATTGACGAAAAAATCTTCAAGTCAACGGAAGCAGATTTCATCTCTTTACTCACCTCTTGTTAGACAGAAAGAAAAGCAAAACTTAACTGTGGCAAAGGAAGACTATGTATAAATTTATGTGATATATTTGTGTTAGAGAAAATTAACAAAAATTCCTGGCATGAGAATAATGGATGTCTAACCTATAACTAATATAATCAAGTTACAACTGTTTATAGTGTGACTACAGCTACTATGCATATATGTTAGTTGTGGGTTTATTCTTTTACAGGTTGACTTGTTGCTCGCTGTACTCCCACAGTTTCTTGCAGTCCTCATCAATCAATGCTAGCTTGTTAGGCTTAGCTATTGAACAATTAGACCAATACTTTCCAGTGATCCCCTCAGCTTCCTCAGATACTGCACAATGAAGTGTGGTCTGTGCTCCTTGTGTAGGTGTCTTAGCCAGTAACCATGATATTGGATAAAGTATCGGCTATAATATTATACCAAAGAGAGACATAATGTAAACCATGTCCATATAATTTATAGCAATGAGATATATTAAGAATGTATGATTACTAAAGCCCAGCATACACTACAATCAACAATGCGTTGCTTTCAACATTTGCCCAGCCTTTGGCCAAGCAACATGTTGCCTTGAATAGAAAACCTTTCCATTCCTTTCAACAAGGTTGACAGAAAGATCAAAGGCCAACATGTTGCCTGTAGTGTATGTTGGGCTAAGAAGGATAGATGTAATGACATACTTTAAATATGGCCTTCCAACCAGCAACTAAATGTCTTCCAAGCTCAGTATTAATGCTGCCGGGATGAAGGGAGTAAGTGGTTACCCCAGTCCCCTCCAGCCTCTTGCCTAGCTCCCTTGCAAACATCACATTGGCTAGTTTGCTCCTGAAATAAGACTTTTGGGACCCGTAATGCTTTGACCACATCATGTCATTAAAATCAAGGGATCCAAAGTAATGACCAACAGACGAGACAGTTACAATACGACTTGGAGCCGACTCTTTGATTTTATCAAGGAGCAAGTTAGTGAGCAGAAAGTGGCCAAGGTGGTTCGTTCCAAATTGCATTTCAAAGCCGTCCTCCGTGAGACAATAAGGTGTAAGCATAACACCAGCATTATTAATAAGAATATCAATACGGTCTTCTTCATCTAGGATTTCAGAGCTGAAGGTACGGATTGATGCAAGAGAAGCAAGGTCAAGCTTTTTTAAAACAACATTCTCACTGCCACTACCTTCCTTAACGTAGGACACAGCTTCTCTCCCTTTCTTTTCATCCCTACATGCTAGTATAACTCTAGCTCCTCTTTTTGCCAAGTCAAGAGCAGTCTCTTTCCCAATCCCAGTATTAGCACCTGTCACTATTGCCACTTTCCCATCAAGCCGCCTCTTACTAGTACAGGACCTACCAATGACAGCAAAGTATCTGAACGCAGCCAATCCAAGGACTGCTACTCCAGAACAAATCAAAAGAGTGCTAAGATTACAGCAGCCAAAGTTAAGAAACTCCATTTTAATTTTTTTAGCCCAGTGGGAGTTGGTTAAAAATGAAGGCGTGGCTGGGCGTTGATTAAAAATAATGGTAAAAAACTAAAAGTTTAACTATTTCCAAAAACATCTTGTATTTGCCTGTTAGGGGCAAAATGAGAGTACGTTAGATAGTAGTAAAGAGAAGAGAAGAGGAAAATTAAATTTAAAATTATTTCATGTGATTTATGGCATGAGAGTAATGGATGTCTAACCTATAACTAATATAATCAAGTTACAACTGTTTATGCTGTGACTACAGCTACTATGCATGTATGTTAGTTGTGGGTTTATTCTTTTACAGGTTGACTTGTTGTTCACTGTATTCCCACAGCTTCTTGCAGTCCTCATCAATCAATGCTAGCTTGTTAGGCTTAGCTATTGAACAATTAGACCAATACTTTCCAGTGATCCCCTCAGCTTCCTCAGATACTGCACAATGAAGTGTGGTCTGTGCTCCTTGTGTAGGCGTCTTAGCCAGTAACCACATTGTTGAAATATAAAGTGGCTATACATATAAAGAGAGACATAATGTATACAGCAATGAAATGTATTAAAATAATGTAAGATTACTAAGAAGCATACATGACATGTAATGACATACTTTAAATATGATCTTCCAACCAGCAAAGAAATATCGTCCAAGCTCAGTATTAATGCCACCAGGATGAACAGAGTAAGTGGTTACCCCAGTCCCCTCCAGCCTCTTGCCTAGCTCCCTTGAAAACATCACATTGGCTAGTTTGCTCCTGAAATAAGACTTCTGGGCCTGGTAATGCTTTGACCACATCATATCATCAAAATCAAGGGATCCCATAACATGCCCAAGTGATGAGACAGTTACAATACGACTTGGAGCCGACTCTTTGATTTTGTCGAGGAGCAAGTTAGTGAGTAGGAAGTGGCCAAGATGGTTCGTTCCAAATTGCATTTCAAAGCCGTCCTCCGTGAGACAATAAGGCGTAAACATAACACCAGCATTATTTATAAGTATATCAATACGGTCTTCTTCATCTAGGATTTCAGAGCTGAAGGTACGGATTGACGCAAGAGAAGCCAGGTCAAGCTTTTTGATAACAACATTCTCGCTGCCACTACCTTCCTTAACGTAGGACACAGCTGCTTTCCCTTTCTTTTCATCTCTACATGCCAGTATAACTCTAGCTCCTCTTCTTGCTAAGTCAAGAGCAGTCTCTTTCCCAATCCCAGTATTAGCGCCTGTCACTATTGCCACTTTCCCATCAAGCCGCCTCTTACTATTACAGGACCTACCAATGATGGCAAAGTATCTGAATGCAGCCAGTCCAAGGACTGCTACACCAGAACAAATCATAAGAGTGGTAACATTACAGCAGCCGAAGTTGAAAAACTCCATTTTAAATTTTTAGCTCAGTGGGAGTTGCTTGAAAATGAAGGCGTGGCTGGGCTTTGATTAAAAATGGTAAAAAGTGTAGTGTTTTCAAATAATTTAAAAACCTATTGTCTTTGCCTCTTAGGGACAAAATGAGAGTACATTATATAATAGTAAAGTGGTAGCTACTGAGAAAGAGCAAGAGGAAGAAGAGGAAGAAGTGAGGGAAGATTTTGAAGAATTTAAGGAGCAACAGACAAGCGAAATGATGTCACCAGTATGTAAGATTATTGACTATTATTATTATTTTATTAATTATTAGAGGAGTAAAGGTATCACTGTTGTTAATCCAAGGCCAGAGGATAGTGTTAGTTCACGTGACCAGAGTTCATTAGAACTTGCAAGACTAAAAGATTTACCCAAAGTATAATTATATTGAAATACATAACTATGTTCACATGACACCTTTCATGTACATGAAAAAGTTATGCATATTGATTTTATGTTTATTTCAACATTTGATAGTTTTGGCCGATTCTTAAGTCAACCCTTGATTACGAATATCCACTGGAATCGTTTCAAAGTATAGCATTGTGTTTTATAAATGGAAATGATGACTTAATTTCTTTTTTTCTTTTCCCTTCAGAGGGTCTATCAAGCCCTGATCTCTTATCACTGTCTCAAGATTACAAGAAGCATCTTAACCTCATAGCTCAAGTCATAGCTAATAAACAAGTAAGTACATGTGCATGTATATCAAGTATAATACATGTGGAAAAAATTTTTTAAGCTTGTTTTCTATTTTGATTTTTATGTCAGAGAGCACTGGCTAGTAGGATGAAAGATATTGAAATGTTTTCAGCTGGAATAGCACAGCAGCTGGAAAAGAGACACGAGAGAATAGAAAAAGCGTTGCCTCATTTAGAGAGAGGTAGAGCTTTAGAGCTTTTCTCTCACTTTTCTTTTTCTCTTTAGTAAATGAATTATCACAGGTCCTTGATAACATTGGATCTCTATTGGACGATGTGGTTCCACTAATGAACAGAATTAATTACTCATTGCCGGAATCGTCTCGTTTAGAACAATTGACTGTACACAAATCGACTCATCCATCACCTCCTCTTGCAGGGGGACAGAATCTCAGACATCCATTGCATGGTATGGGAATGAGAGTTCAATCAGAGCATGAGAATGAGGACGAGAGACAGGAAGAGGAGGAGGAGGAGGAGGAAGAAGAGAGTGACTGATTTTATCACAATTTTAACTACTAGTAAATGATATTGTTTGTGTGTAATGAAGAATTAATGATAACATTAATAATGTCACTCTTTCTTACTAATGCATCAACCAGCTTCTTATACTAGAAAGAATGTGAAACATTGAGGGCTCCGCCTCCTAGCCACACCTCGCAGTCACGCCCCCAAACATATGTACGCATGCATGCATACAGAAATTCTCATAGGTAAGGGCTTCGCCCAAATTAGTAGCTTTAGTAGAAATCATTTTAATGTCTCAAAAATCAAAAGTATCAAATCATAATACAATATATGATATAATACAAATTTCTATAATTACAAAGGTAAAAAAAACTTAAATCAGCAATATAATTATTTATAACTTTATAACAGCATTTACTAGTTCACACAATTCATCTACATCTCCTTCTAATAAGTAGGTGGAGGAGGATAATACCCGCCTTGAGGTGGGGGATACCCCTGCTGAGGGGGATATCCTGATTGAGGGGGCGGAGGGTACCCCTGCTGAGGGGGCGGAGGGTATCCCTGTTGAGGGGGCGGAGGGTAAGCAGATTGAGGGTATCCTTGAGGAGGATATCCTTGTTGAGGGGGCGGGGGGTATGCAGCAGGTGGAGGACATTCACCAACTGGATAACCTAATTAAAATTAACAAATAAAAAGTAAAATAAAAATATTGCAAAACTAAATATATTAAATACTTGGTTGAGGAGGTGGAGCATGGATAACAGTGGTTGGAGCAGGAACAACAAAGGTCACTTCCGGACCATGGTGTCCGTGGTGGTGGTGAGGTGGTCCATGGTGGTGGTGAGGTGGTCCATGGTGATGGTGATGATGGTGATGGTCGTGACGAACGTCATGAGCTATGTCTGCTCTAACGGCAGCATGCTGTGCCTGATGATGCTTCTCATTCGCTTTTGCCTAACAGATAATGCAATAATAGTATCTATCATTATCATGAAGCTACCTCAAGGACAATTGCTTTTCCTATATTGCCATGCAGAGCTGCATTCACTGCTTTGTGATGAAGCCTTGCTTCTTGCCTTTCTGCTCTGTGCTCTTGCTAGAAAGAGATAAAGATGAGGATTAGCTAATGGAGCTTACTCTTAAAGCTTTGCGTTCTTCTCTTGCCCAATGTCCAGCCATTTTGCTATGTAATTGTGGAAGGAAGAAAGGAGGAAGAAGGGAGTGGCTGGTTCCAGAGCATGTGACCGTGACACGGAGGTGTACAATTTAGTTTCCTAAAATAAACGGGACGCTAATTGGCATGAAGCGAAGAAAAGTGGTAAGGTATGCGGAGACGAGAGTAAAATAATGCGGAGGAAAACGGTACTCGCATGCCTTACTCAACACACATCCCAAAATGGCCGATTGGTGAGAAGAGAAGAAAGACAATCAGAAAGATAAAGAAAGTAAGAAGGAAGCCTCTCTCGATGTACCAAAGACATCTAACATACTTAATACTTGGTACTCTTTCCATTAGACTACAAATGGCGGATCTACCTCTTAGTAATAGTCCTAATTCATCCCCTTCGTCCTCCTCTTCCAAGAGGAAAGGAAAGAAAAAGAAGAGAAGGAGCCCATACAGTGACCCAGACTCACCAGTGGACTCCATCAATAATGAAACTGACAATTATCCTTTAGTAAGGAGGCAGGGGGGAATAGAGAAGTGACATGATAGTGTTTGTATATTGTAATTATACACAAATTAATAAAATTAATACTACGGATTACTTATTAAGTATTGGCTGTATTTTTTACATTGCTGCTGTTTTATTATAGCAAACTACTGATCTTGATACTCCTGTAATTACAACAGCAAAATGTGTTATATGTGGAAAAACTGTGAAACAATTAGGTAGGACTAATGTATAAATGTATTATTATTTATTCTATTGTCATTATCTCATTCATGTAGTTCGTAAACCTGAAGTCAATGTAAGTCTTACAACATTATTTCTGCTGTTAAATCTATTTCTTTCTCTCTTTTCTCATTTCTCTCACTCTCTCTCTTTTAGGGTATTGTTACATGCGAGGCTTGCCTCAAGTTAGGCATAACTCCATCCTCTGGCGATGATGGTAAAAATTCTATGGACGGATACATGACACCACGTCGTGGCCCAGTGAAGGAGCACCTCTGTAACTGTGCAGCCTGTGTCAATAAACGGTGAGAGAGATATATATATATTAGAAATGTCTATTTTCGCTTCTTCCTCTTTTTAGTGAAAATGCAGTTCCACCAGAGGTAGAGCGCGATGCCCACATAACCCAAAGCTATTGGATGGAGATCAGGCACGTTGTCAGATGCATATACAGAGATGACATGAATCTCTCAGGTGAGATGCTAGGTTTATTATTACTGAGTCTGGTTGAGTGATTAATTTGATATTAGATTTATCAACGAGGGAAAGCATTGGCTCGGACAAGATGAGGAGTATTGTGAGGAAGTTGTGCAGTCGGGATCCACACCAGTTCTTCCAGAGGCTGGAGACTTTGGCAAGGTAGGTGGTGTACATCAATTAGAATATTAACAAATCTTACAATCCAAGTTACATAAAGTACTTGCAATTATTTGTCATCATCATTATCATTGTTATTGTTATTATTAATTTGTTTTTAGGGAGTACCTTCTTGAGGTGAAAGTAAGATTATTGGAGCAGTTGTCATGTGGTTTTAATTCCCCACAACTGGCCATTGAGTTCATACAGATGCTTTTAGATGAGTACACCACACTCTGTTCAGCTCTACCAGGACTACTCTTCTTACTTGAACCACTGGTATACCTTATAATAAAGATAATTTAATCTCATCTTGCTGCCTTTCTCCTCATCCTGTCTCTCTCCTTGTAGGAGGCGACTGATTACGTCAGGAGTCTTGGTGTTACCATTGAACTGGTTAATAAGAACATTTTCCGTGAGCTCATTTTTGCCGAGTCATTCATGAGCTCAAACCTCCCACTCATTATTGCTCAGTTGAGACTGGCCTCCCTCTCTTCAGACCCTTTTCATCGGAGCACAGCAGACTCACTCTCACAAAGGTTCTCCACAATACATACATACATACATATACTTAGCTTGAACCATGGATTAAATGCATGTATATCTAGTTGTACATGTAGCTTGAATGTATGTATTTGTTCATGCATGTACAGTATGTGTTTCTGGCTGTTAGTTATTTTTGAATGATATGCTAGCCAGGACTTGGGCTTATTATAAACCCAGCTCTTTTGATTAATGATAGCATCAAGAGCTGGATATTTATATCATCTAATGCAATCACTAACAATGTAGTCATTCTCTCTCTCCTCAGGTATATATGTCTAGATAGAGAGATGGAAGAGATTGGTAGAGTGTGGAAAGTGGCCAAGGAGCAGCTATTGGTCCATCACCAAGAGCTGAAGCGGGTAGGTTTTCCAGTGCTAATGGAAATTCGACATAAACGTACATGTTTATTAACGACGATGAGGAAGGTGTTATACGCACCTATGCATGTAAATATGATGTTGTGTACTCACAATATTGTCTGGCGCCATGGGCGGGTTCGGTTCTCTTATCTGAGCCTGTTGCCTTGGCAATACAATCAACACCTGGTACATGTGCAGCCATGCGAGTTGCTGTTTACTTTTAAAATCGTATTCAAAAGATAAAGGATCATTATCTGCTAGCTATAGCTAGCGCTCTGCTCTGCTTTCCTCTTAGTAGCATGTATAGACTCCAGAAATATATTTGCTGCTTGTCGCGTGATGGAGTATTTGGAGATAGAATGAGGAGGAGAAGGAGAGTAAGACTATATAGTGATAGTAAATATACTTGTAAATGATTGCTACATGGTTGTACATTTTAAAATATCTTCCTCTCTCTTTTATAGCATGAAGAGAGACATGCTAGTCTGTCCAAGATGAAAGCTGACAACAATCTCATGAAGAAATCAGACCTCCCTCCTCCTCTCCCTCCCCCTCCTGTCACTGATGAATATTCTACTGAGCCAATTCAAGCTACTGGTACTTTTGTTAAGGTAATAAAATCATAGACACATTGAGTTACATGCATGATGTGTCCTTCATTTACATGTAGTTAAAAGATGATCCTATAGAAGAGCCTGTACAGTCTAAAGCAACAAAGTAAGACAGTGGCTCCCCTATTGTATGAAGGACTATGAGTTTCAATAATAATAATAAAGAAATTATATGAGTGATATTATACTAGTTTTACTATGCTGTTAATCATTCATTACTCATGTGACATGCATGCATGAATAGAATATATGATGTGTTTGGAGTTTAAGCATGTGAATTTAGCTATACATGACATGTACCAAGGTCGGGGTCAACCACCAACCCAAATGCTTAAGCCCAAGCACTTTAAGAAGGGCTTAAAGCATAACGATTGTAATGGCTTTTGTGATTAGGGTGCTTAAGAACAAGCACTTTTAAAAGAGCTTCAAACATTTTTGTAATAGAACGTTATACTAATAAACAAGTTGATGGACCTTTTCTGCTAAGTCAAGCGACCTCTGATGCTAATTAAGTATCCAGCTGTATTTTTATAGTCTCATGTTAGTTAGATTAGAATAAGGGAGGCTTTTCTTTTAGGCTCTCTTGGTGTTACCAACTCAAAATAGTGCTTAATCTTTGAAATTGTGCTTATAAGCACTATCAAAGCAAAGTGCTGAAGCACAAGCATTTGTGCTTTAGTGAGATTAAGTACTTGAAAGCATTGTAGGCATTTTCAAAAATGTGCTTAAATCACTTTTAAGCACAAGCACTTGTAAGTGCTTGCCCCATCCCCGAGTCATGTACATGTACATGTGTATGTGTAGTATAACACAAATCATTTACTTTTACTGTAAAGACTCTGAGCTGTAGTTTATATTTAGACTTGTAGATATGTGAATTAAAATTTTGCATTTGTATTACATGTGTACATGTACATGTAACTCTGCTCTGTCTAATAGTCAGTGACAGTTTTTTGTTGTATTTCGCTGATTACACACGGAGCTATAGCATGTACTTTAATGAAAAGGATTGTGGATGGATCTTAATAACATCCCAGTCTTCCTTAATAGAGTAACAACTGTCAATATTAGCAATTAATGATAATATTATTTTATTATTATTATTATTATTAGTTTTATTAATTGATATGCTCTATTTTTCTTATCTCCAGGTCACAAAAAGTAGATTCATCTTCAACATCTCAAGCTAAACCCTCTCTCCATCTTACATCACTTATCCCTCCTCCCTCCTCCTCCTCTTTCTCTTCCCCCCAGCAAGAAACCGACTCAACCGCAACCAGCAGCAACAAAGAGAACGAGAAAGGAAGTTGGCTGACCAAAGAACAAGTGGCCGAGTTCTCAAAAATCTTATTTAAGTGTATAAAGCCAATAGGGGATCCAGAGTTTAGGATAACAGATGATATAGCAACTCACACCATCACATTAAAGATAGACATGACCGCCATTGATCTGAGGCATGCCGAAGCACTTTGTACGAGCGAGCAAGTACACAAGTATGAAGGACTGGGGCTAAGGAGGGAGGAGATTGCTGAGGTGGCCCTCAAGCTGAATGCTATCAAGCATCTTGGCATCAGTCTCCGTATTGATGATCTTTTTGATGAGCATGGGTTCATGGTCGTTGATGGGAGTGAGATCCAGCAGGAGGAGAGAGAAGACGCTGTGTATTTTGTTGAAGACGGTCGCAACTCCATCAAAGGAAAAGAGAAACTATTGGCAGAGGAACTGGCTCGCTCTGAGCTAGTTGACTTGTTAGCTGAGAAAGAGCGAGTGATAGAGAGGGAGAACAGCGAGAGAGGGGAAGGAAGGGAGACCGACCTTCTCCAGAGCATGACGATGAAGATTAGATTCATGAAGAGCGTCGTGAACGAGGAGGTCCGGTCTAGACTGATATCGGACAGCGAACAGGTCATGTTTGAATCGTGTGATCAAGTTCAGATGAAGCTGACGCAGTTAGAGTTGAACACCGTTCGATTGATGTGTACCTCAAACTCTTCGTCTTCGTCTTCACTGGCATCTAATCTCGGGATGATTAACACATGTAAGAGAAAAGAGGCGGGGCCTGAGAAATACATGCATGCCGATGCCCACCAGCCATTTATGGATCTGCTATTGGAACAGCAGCAGGGAAAGGCCTCGGAGTTTGTTCCCAAGGGAGAGGAGGAGGAGGAGAGGGAGGGAGAAGGGAAGAAGGAGAGAAAGGAAGGGAAGAGAAGGAAGAAGGATGAGCTGGTCCTTGGTCAGTCGACTGTGCTCTCTGTGTCTATGAGGAATCAAAACTGTCAGTGTTTTGCTTGTATCGGTGCTGTTGCTGCCCAGCAAACTGATGTAAGTGCAAGTTGTTTTTGCCATGAGACCGTGACCATAGTTGACCCATGGCTGGTCATTGATAAATATTGATTCCCTTGCATGTACATGTGTGTGTTGTGTTGTAGAAAGTTTTAGCTGATTCTGAAGTTTTTTTGAGCTATGGTCATTTAAAAGAATAAGCCAAGTAAGACAAAATAAGTAAACTAAGATAAGTAAGATAAATGTTAAGTCAGTTTTAGATTGTAGTAACACATCAGGCTGGAAAAATACTTAACTTTTCATGGCGTTGCCTCTCAAATTGGATTTTTACTCAAATGTTTATAACATTGCAAAAGCATTTTAAAACAACTGCTATAAACACAGAGTCGTAGACTAGAGTCTTCCTCATTTAAATCTGTTTTTATGAAACTGTTATTCATTGGTCTGTGTTTACACAGCAACAGCAGCAACCTTTTATGTTTATCTCCACAGGTAAGTACAGGAAAAGTAATTCATTGCCCTCTCTCTCTCTCTATATATATATAATATGTAA